TTTTTTTTGTAATTTTTTTTATCACAAACCTAAGTCTGATGAAAACGAGATGGGCCGAACCCCAATAGTCACGAGGACCTGCGGTTCACTGTTGGAAAGCGGCAACCTAGGCCCCGGGACTTGGAGTTGCAAACCGTATAAGGCCCCGATAGGTTAGACGTTGTATTGAACCGGCCGACAGACAGAGCTGCCTACCACCAATCAGTGTCGTATGTCTCTGAGCATGGCCAATAACATACTTCCTGTGGTATGTCGACTTGTCCACAAGCAACGATTTGGCATCCTGTGTCTCACATGTCCAAAAAAGCATATGGCACCGTGTGTTTGATTTTCTAGTGGTCCAACGTTGGTATCCCACATTTTCCAGATTTCAGTGGTCAGTTCTTTTCTTTGTTCCATATTTTGATCATAAAGCAGATTTTGATGATCATCTAATATCCAGCACATCTCACTTATACTGTGACCCAGCTGGGTGAGTGACTGACTCAGCGAACGACTCTGTACCTACAAATGCCGAAAATAATGCAAAACTACGTCTGGGAGACTGCTTGGAACATACTCCAAAATCCGTTTAATATTAGTTATTGTATTGCATTATGGTGTTTCACACACGTCTGGGTTCAGACTGTTTGCCAAACGATCATGATAATACAATAACCTTTGCAAGTAAGAAAAAATGATTGACTTGGACAGAATACTGCCGTGTTGCCCAGACGAAAGCAGCAAATTCCCAACCGAAGCCTTAGGTTAGTCAAAGCCTGATTCACAATGTAGCGGAGTGATATTAGCCAACATCCATTAGGACCGGTATCCGGTTCACCGAATCATACACCTTTTGAACAGGGTCGAACGTCCAAGTTACTCGTTACCTCTCGATGCCCAACCGAACCGATGACGACAAGTAAAACCAGTAAGAGGTGTGTGTGTGTGTGTGTGGTTCGTACACCTTTTGTTGATTGGTTTGGTTTCTAACCAATTCCCCTAGTTGAACTGCCCGCTTATCGCCCCGGATGTTGACTTTTGTTCTCTCAGTTTGGTTTTAGTATCTTTAGCACGATAGTCATAAAGGTGCGGCCGTACCGCACAGTTTAGGCGATATACCTTAAATCTATTGATGTGATGCATTTCCTCAGAGTTTGTCCATTTATATTTTCTCGTACACCTAATTACTATCTAGGCATCTTCAATCAATTCCCGAAATACGTCAGTCCAACGGGAACTTTTTCAGATTTCGCGGACGATTTTTCCAGCCGTTTGTGGTTTAGCTATCGGTGCAGTTTTGTCCCGTTGTGTACTGATCCATCGTCATCTATACTGCCATCTTGTCCGAACAACGGCACCAGTAACAGCTGTAGCAACGGGAACACTCACGGGTCCGATGCGAGTGTTAAACCTATCCCCGCCACTCCTCCCATTGCATCCTGGGTCCAATCTGAAAGGAGTTTGTCGGTTGACAAAGCATCTATGGTTCCCGCGAACTCGTCGACCGGATGGTCTGATTCGACCGAAAGTGATACAGACTCTTCGCCCACACAAGACTGTCCACATCCGGACCGGACTCCCGGCGGCTCCACCAGTCAGTCGCACACGGTAGGCTCTTCGTGGCAGGCACGATTGAGAGCGCTGAAGCGAGTTGTCGCCTACGAACCTGTTGATCGTGGCATTCCATTGTCCGTACAGACATCCGACAGTGGTTGGGGCTGCATGATCCGCTCTGGTCAAATGCTATTAGCACAGGCTTTGAGTGTTCATCTTCTCGGACGACACTGGCGATTATTCCATCGGGGAAGGTAAGTAAGTCTGTTACTTACTGGGGTTTTTACTCTCGAACAAACAAACAGTTTTCTGATTGATCNCACAGTTACACTTCGTCAAGTTCAGTCTTATTCCCCTTACTGATTCCAGTTTACTGTTTCTTAACACTTCCATGGCAAGATGGCTGCGTCGTCCTCACTTTTCATCCAACTAAAGAAGGAGGACTGTTCTTGCTTGGACAGTCATGTGATAGACATGTGACTGTGTAAGGTTGATCGATCCAAACAAATGGGAGAACTGCTGTCACGTGCTAGACCTTTTCTATCTCCTCTCTCACACGCCAGCGTGCTTCTTTGCGTTTTCACGGCAACATTCACTCCAACCAGTTTGTTCGAGGTCATGACACAGAAGTTTCCTCAACAACGAAATGCCCATGGGGCCAACTTGCCCGGCCACAAAATAAGGCAAAAGTAAAACACTGGATTATACAATGCGCAGTCTGTTATATCGCTTCGATACTGATTTCTCGAATCATCATCCTTCGATAGTATCCCTTGACCAGATAGCGTTTTCACAGTTGGAACACAGCTGGATGATTGCATGTTTATCTCTAACAGACGGGGAGGGTAAGAGATGCGTATACAAAGCGATTGGTTGACTGGATGAGTGTTAACCGTCTTGGTTGTCTTTATCACGAATCACCATCGTTTGGTTATACTTGATTTGATTGGTTGTTCCTTCACACTGCAGTTTTCATGGAGCATGCCTTCATCGCACAGTGGAATACAGTGAAGCCAACTTCACTGATCACTGCCAAACTCATAATGTATACAAGGTAAATGAGAGATATGTAAGGAAGAGATAGGGATTGGGTCCATTTCTAGGAACCGCTCAAAGAAAGCGATCCTCTACGGTCAACATACAGAGAGCATAGTCCAGTTGTGCATACATACTATTTCAAGCATTCCGGTCTGAGAAGAAGTGACAGCATGATCGCCACTGCTGTTGGTTTGCTGCCATGACCTTGAGCGTCTCTAGCCATCCGGTTACGGAGTCTTTTGGATCTCATCGTCGAAGACGAGAGACACGCATTAGATTGATTAAACTGGGGAAAAATGACGCTCAATACTCTCAGTCTACAGTACTCTATTTGCACATTGATAGCCATCGGTAAACAGCATTTATTCCGAATTGTATCTCTAACTGCGATATTCTTAATTCTCTTGTAGTGGTAATACCGTCGGAATTGGCGCGCTACCTTGATTAATGGGATGACTTTGGAAGTATTGTGGAGGTTGCAGATCAAAATAAGAAACCTGTCGGTAAAGTATAGCATAAATGCTCATCCTTTCTTATAAATTGGTACTGGTTCATAGGGATATTTATTCTAATTAATTCAAGTCATCTTATTGGCATAACTTCTTCCATGCGGTGCAAAGTAGATAGTATATCGATAAATGATAATTTGTTGTCATAATTATATCAAAAATATATGTGGCCTCCAGCCGCTCACGCAACATCTCTCGTCATGATTGCAGTAAAAGTACGTTAAAAAACGTGCAAATTGACCTTGAACTGTGTGGGTCGTTGAGTAGGTGGTTGTGTAATTTCACCATAATTATACCGAATGAAGCCTCCAAAATATCTCTTCATACAAGACTGGCAATTTGTGCAAGAGGTGCGCATATCCGACAAGTACCTCAATACCACAAGAAGCATTATTTATTGCATAATTAAGAGAACCGCGTCAGCAAAACGGCCATGAGGAGGAAGAAAACTAGCACATTGAAACAGATCGGTAATTACGACGGGCTAATTGCTAGGAATCAATATCGAGGATAGTTTGGCGGAATTTTCCTGTTTCATTACCTGCAGTAGGATAATTAGATTTTAATGTCGAGCCGTTATTGAAAGCCAAACTAAGGAAGATACGTGTTTTTTTGTTAGCCGATTCAAATCACATCCGGCCTTCTTGTTGGCTTTCGGTTTATTTTACCACTGATTGGCTGTTGTTTGACGAGCACAAAACACCATCTAGTTTGCCAAAGAAAAAACTTTCACCTCTTTCAAGAAGTGAATGTCTGTTTCGCCTAAAAGTTTTGTTGAGCGTGAACTACATTGCACTTCCTTTTTACTATTTTTGTTGAGCTTCAGAACATGGCACCCTAGATGGGGCCCGGATAGCCTCGGAGGTTAAGCAGAGCTGAATACTACCAGGCTTGTTCCCGGGTTGTGGATATGGGGATATCTTCATCAAAAATGGTCAGCTGTGAATAAGTTGTGACATACCTGCAACAAATAAGCAGTCGCGAACACACAGCGGCGGCACTATCAGGGTGTGGTTGGTTTCAGGCTGGTCACCTGGCTCCTGTTTAAAAGCCGCATAACTCTAATGACGGTGTCGTGACAAAGGTCGATGTGACTGGCCTTTTAAAACTAGAGTCGTTGATCCCGTCACTTCCGAGGTGAGGGATTACTTCCTGCTGCCTTGCAGTTCGCACTTGGTTGTGCAAACACTAGAGCTGTGCCCTCAAAATGAAAAAGGCCGAGTGACGCTGGGGACGACTCTCGTGTCAGCTCCTAAAGAACTTCATGATCATGATCATGTCTGGAGCTGGCTTATTTTTTCCAAGGCACCAGCAGCATTAAAGTAAACTAAGTAAGCACACAAGTTCACCATGACTGCTACTCTCACAACGCATTAAAAACCATATTTTTTCAAGATGATACTCCTTGTCATGTGATACATGAGGTTTATCATAGAAGTCGTTTCGATCCTAATGCGTACGTTTGTTCTGATATTGGGGCAGTTGATTCGCTAGCAAAGTTGATGAACTCCACGCCAAAACTACTCGCTCAAGTGTTCAGAAATAGAGCAGGACACATAGTATATCGAGAAAAAAAGCTTGCTGTGGCATCTTTATCAGCGATTTTCAGAAATAAATTCCGATTATTTCCTCTACTAATGTTTATTTTATTGCACCTGATTTCCTACCCGTCTTCGATACGTATTTCACACATCTCTGAATCCAGATCATAGTACAATAATCTATGAAAAAAGAATGTTCTCTGGTTTGTTTGTGAGCGGACTTCGGCCTGGTTACCCAGGCCAAGGCTAGTGAGTTTTTTGGAAGAATTCAGAACTGTATCACTTGACTAGCTAATGTCTGATCCGCAAGGCAACGAACGGGGCGGTGTGGGAAAACCGCAATCCAATTGGGGCTGGGGGGTCAATGTTCAGTTCATCGGATCATACACCTGTCGGACGGGGTGCCCAATACACCTCGATGGTCAATCGAGCCGGTGAACACTGCCACAACCAGGAAGGTGTGGGTAGGTGTGGTTCATACGCCTCTTCTAGGTTAGTTTGGGGTCTGGGTTTTAGTCAATTCCCATAGGTGAACTCTTAGTGGTCCACCGACCCAGTTATAACCCCGGATGTCGGCTTTTTGTCCTCCTCCTAATTTGACGAGAAAAATTTTCGCCACCGGAAGACGTGAGTAGAAGCTGTTTGACACGCTTGCTCGACTACTCGACTACTATTCTGCAGTTCAAGCTAAGACCTGGCATGAGGGTATGAAAACCCTAACCAGGAGACTAGGTCACATAGGCCCTGTTAGGCTCCCTGGTTGGGGACCTCGGGATGATGGTCACCGATGGTTAGCTACACTGAGTAATATGGCTGGGTGTCGCAAACAGTGGCACTCGTGCATCCACTCGTTATTTTCCTAACACCACTCTATATGTATTCCCCATCTTCCGCTTGAATTTGCTTCGACATTCCAATCTTCACTTCGCTCTTTTATCCAAATGGGCAACCAAAGCCGGCGCACGAAAGTGCATGCATGGTTAATGGTTGTAAAAACTGAAACTATTCTGCAGTAAACGCCACCCTAGGTGCAGCCAAATGATTTATGAATTTAATCGTGCCCAACTCTATCTCGGAAAACGATAGCCACAATAATGTGAAAGTGATTTCAAATCAGTGAGTTAGTTTTTGTCGAATGTATTTAATTTTCATGAAATAAAAATAATTCATTGATAGTGTGTGGTCATCCGATTGATGCACCATTCTGCAATATGCCTACAATTTCTTTTAGGGGTTGGAGTGTGTGTGTGTGGGGGGGCTTGTGATGAAATTTCCCATATCTGTACGCATGTATTTTTCTCTTCTCTGTTCTTCCAGTCTGACGCGAATGTCCAACACACATGTGCATCGTCAAATCATTCGTTGGTTCCACGATTCCTGGTCCCCATGTGCGCCATTTTCATTGCATCGATTGGTTCGGGCCAGTCAACTCCCGCCGGGCACATGGTTCGGACCGAGCACAATCTGTGCCGCGCTTCTTCGCACACTGATCGCCGCAACCACCACCACCCCCGGGACAGACTGCCATCACGATCGGGAATTGTCTCAATTGGAGATCTATTTGGCTCGCGATCGTGTGATATATCGTAATGTGAGTGGTTAACTGAAGTTATTTTTCTATTGTAAAAGTGATAATGTTAATAAGACAGCGATTTCGATAGAGAATTGTATTCGCCGGTGTTTCGGTTACCGTGGGTAACCCTTCTCAAGACAGGTTTTACAATCAAATGACTCAGACTATCGCAAGTCAACGGATGTTTCGTCGTGTGTGTGCGCGTGTCATGTGGTGTGTTTGTGTGTGTGTGTGTGTGTGTGTGTGTGTGTGTGTGTGTGTGAATTTGCGTGATGGGCTGAATGATTCGTTGTCTGTCATACTAA